CCTAGGGTCCTGGGATCGAGTCCCACGTCGGGCTCCCAGCTCAGCGGGGAGCCTGCTTCTCCCTCTGACCCTCTCCCCTCTCATGCTGTTTCTCTCTCGCTCGCTCTCTAAAAAATAAATAAAATCTTTAAAAAAAAAAAAAAAGTCAGCTGATTATCAAGTTCTGATTCAAGAACTAAGAACCTAGTAAGAGAAAGTGCTTATCTGTTGACGGTTTTACCACTGTGTGACTCAACCGAAGTTTTCTTTTACATATTGAAACTACTTAGATAAATACTGTATTGGTGATTTCAGAATTTGAGAGAGGAAAGAAGACACTTTTTTTGTATATTTTGCAAGTGATGGGAATGATAGAGATTATGTAATATTTAATTTTTCTCATTTCTTAGGTTACACATCGATTAGCAGTTTGCAACATGGACTGGGACAGATTAAAGGCAAAAGATTTGCTAGCTCTGTTCAATTCATTTAAACCTAAAGGGGGTGTTATATTTTCCGTAAAGGTGAGAATTGATTTCATTTTGAAATATTTCTAAACATTTTAAGCTTAATCTTTTTTTTAAGTCATGTTTTTAAGGAAAATAATCTGGCAGTTGTCTGGTACAGTTAGGTACAAAACAGGTAGAATAAATATAAAAGGAAGAGGTAAAATTATTGCTATTGATGGGTTATGTGATTTATGTATTTTAAAAACCTAAAGAAATCAATTGAAAAGCTATTATAAAGCTCAATAAAGGGACAGAATAAAATAAATATTTTTTAATTGCATTCTTCAATTCTTAACCAGTTAAGAAAAAAATCTATTTTACTAGCAGCAGAAATGTAAAATCCTTGAGAATTACCTTAAACATATATGATATATATGAAGTAAACTGTAACACTGGATAAATTTGAAAAACTTAAATAAATGTTGAGATACCATATTTTTGGAGAGCAAGCATAGCGATTAAGAATTTAGGCTTTGCAGTATGACAGACCTGCATTCAAATCTTGATTCTGATGCATGCCATGTGATCTTGGGCATTTTATTAATTTCTCAGATGTGTTCTCTCACCTGACAAGTGGATATAACAGTAGCATTTCCTAGGGTAGTTGTAAGGATGAAATGATAAGAAGCTTACACTAAGTATTTAGTACGGTGCCTGAAACAGCTCTAAATTATTGTTCTGTTTAAGTATTTAAAGATGTCAATTCTATAGTTTTAGTGTAGTTTCAAGCATAATCTCAGTTCCTATCAAAGAAAAAGGCTACCAGTAATCATCTAAAAGAATAAATAAGTGAAAATGACTAATAAATTTTAGGAAAACATGCCAGTGTAAAAGGATTCGCCCTGTCAGATATAACATGTGAACATTTTATATTGCTACAAGAGTTAACAAGTTTGGGTAAAAAGGGAAAGACAAATTGATGGAATGAAATAGATAAATAGAAGAGTTTATATTATAATATAGACCAAAGTAAGCTTGAATACCTGGTATTGGGACAAATGAGTGAGTCTTTGTATAAAGAGCTTAGTTCAGATCTTCACCTCATCATAGTCCAAAATAAACTCCAGATAAAGTAAGGGAAAAAAATTAAAACTCAAACCACAGAAACAGAATAAAATAGTATTGTGTTTTTGTTAAATCTTATATTTCAGGAAATGGATAGTAGGAATTTCTAGAGTTAGAAAAGAGAAAAACAGAATCAACAGATGTGACTACATATGTATTTAAAACTTTTACATCAAAACCTATTATTGCCACTCAAATTAGTAAGAAAAACTCGAATCCCTATTTGATAAATTACATATTGCAGAGAACTCAGAAAAGCATGTATTAGTTAGCAAAAATATATTAAGCCCAGTAGTATCAAAACAATACAAATTAATACAGTTATATTTTTTCTCATAAGTAGCCGAGATACAAAATTACCAAATCCCAATGAGGGAATCCTTTTTCTTTTACCAAGACCATCTAAACCGTGTGATAAGATTATTATCAGTTCTTTTCTATTTAAAGTATTTCTTAAAGCATTGGATAAATGATATGACTTAAGAGATAAAACAAAATTGTTTTTCTTTATGTTTTATATACTTCTTTAATCATTTTTGTATATTTTGTGTCAACTAATTAGTCATTTTGTGTGTATGTGTTTACTTTTAAGTTCCTTGAGCACTTAGACTCGTTTTGCTTTTCTTAATTTTTCCCTTGGATCCCAGGACCATTTTGTCCCAGTTGATGTATGCAGGAGATAATTCTGTTTTTGTTCTTAAGCTCTACATCTGTTACTCTCCAGCCAAAATGACTATTTTTAAGGAGATTCCTCAGGATGTTTTAGCTTCCTGTAGTAGGTTTGGAAGTGAGTCATCCTTCCTGCTTTCATCGAGTTCAGTTGTAACTCTTAGAGTTCCTGACCTTGACGGGTCTGGATGTTTTAAGAAAAGTAAAGTATAAATTACATTGATCTTATTTTTTTGTGTTTAGATATATCCTTCGGAGTTTGGAAAGGAGAGGATGAAGGAAGAGCAAGTTCAAGGACCAGTAGAGTTATTAAGTATTCCTGAAGATGCCCCTGAAAAGGACTGGTATTAACCTGTTACAGAAAATAAAACTAAATCTCATGAATTCATGTCACTAACTCAGAATTCTGGTCACTTTAATGGGACTAAAGTTTATGTTGTGCCTGCCTTTCATGGTTAAAACAAGTTGCAGAGCAGATTAAAGTCTGTCAGAAGTGGCATAGTATTCCAACAACCTTTTGTGTGTATATTCATATTTCTGTATTCACAAAAACAATTATTGCAGTTTTGAAAAACATTCCATGATTAGACTGATTTAGGGTTCTCAGCCTCCTTGCTCTTAGTTAGTAAGTTTTGGTTTTTTCATGAGATGTTGCTTTCCATATATGTGGCATTGAAACCCTGTTTGCCTTCGTGATATATGTATTTTTTAATTTGAGGATTAAATCAAAAAATAATGATAACTTTTTATTATCATAATGTATAGAAAAATTTTAAGGTAGTTTTTAAACCACTAGGTGGAGCTATATGTGCACGTAATAAAAATGGTGATTGGTGGCAGAACAGCCAATGAAGACTCTCAAAGAGTATGTTGTAGTTAAATGAAATTAAACTTAAAACCATTTAGACTTGACAACACATAAATCTGGAATAAACATTTTACAAAATCAGAAATTTCTTTGTAATTAGAGCTAATGCTTTCCTAGCATATTTATTTTATAATATAGTGATCTTGTTCAGGAGTTTTACTTGAGAGACTATATGTGATAGCAAAACAAAAAGACTATTCAAGAGTTAAAATTATGAGTAAGCATATGTAATTCTTACACTCTCCTTTTCTAGATACTAAATTTTAATTAAAATACCTAGTCTGTGCTTTGTCAAAATAATAAATTGAGCTTAAATATTTAATGCCCATAAATCATGAAGGAAAGATGGATTGGGATGAAGTCCAGTTTGTAATATATTTTTCTTGAAATAATTAACATTTGTTTTTTAAAGGAAGATAGGTGTTTGTGTTCCTGTATAGGTAAGCTTAATGAGTTTTCTACCTTTTAGGACTTCTAGAGAAAAACTGAGAGATTATCAATTCAAACGACTCAAGTACTATTATGCAGTAATAGACTGTGATTCTCCTGAAACAGCTGGTAAAATTTATGAGGATTGTGATGGCCTGGAATTCGAAAGTAGTTGTTCATTCATAGATTTAAGGTAATCCAGTGTGTATCTTACCAATTTTATCTTGTAGCACAATATGATTGTAGGAAGTAAGATATTAGGCTGGTAGTATTTTCTGTTGTTTCATATTGTAAAAAAGGATTTTTTGCTTTAGGTGAACTCTGTCTATGGAACATCACTCTTAACAAAGAAAACTATAATGAGAAAATGCTTAAGTATTGTGTATGAGTCACCCCACATTTATATCCTGAATTTCAAATATATTGGCTATGTTTTTAGGATAATGGGTTATATGCAGTGATATTCCTTTGCAACTCTCTTTTAGAACTAGGAACCAGGTGAATTAATTTAAAAAAAAAAAAGCATTGAGATGGGGGCAAAGGCATTTGCTAATAAATTGGTACCTCTAGACTTGTGCTAATAACAGTAGCTACTAGTCATATCTGACTATTTAGTTAAAATTTTTAAAAATTTTAAATTTATTCATTTGCTTCATCACTGGACACATTTCAAGTATTTACTGGCCATATGGACATAGCAGATACAGAACATTGCTATCATCACAAAGTTCCATTGAATGGTGCTGTTCTAAATGCTCAGTGAATGGATGGTGTTGCTGGCATTGTCTTCAGACTTGGGCATTATTTTCACCCCATGCACAGGCTTCACTGGCCCAAAGCTGAAAAACCTTAAATGGTGGTAAATGTCAGTTCTGAGGAAATGGGAAGCTGAACTACTCTACCATTTTATCATTAGCTTAATGCTTTTGAACCCAGTAAACCATTCTTCTATGACACTTTGAATAGAAATCAGTTCTTTGTATCCAAGTTTGTGAGAGGCTTTGTTCTCAAAATGAAATATTTCCAAAAAAATTTGCATCATTTTGTAGTCCCTGGCTTTCATACTTCAAAGGCATTTGGACTGGTAGAAAAATACAAATAGGGTGCCTGGGTGGCTCAGTTGGTTAAGCGACTGCCTTCGGCTCAGGTCATGATCCTGGAGTCCCTGGATCGAGTCCCACATCGGGCTCCCTGCTCGGCGGGGGGTCTGCTTCTCCCTCTGACCTTCCCCCCTCTCATGAGCTCTCTCTCTCTCTCTCAAATAAATAAAATCTTTAAAAAAAAGAAAAATACAAATAAAAATTTTTGCATTGATAATTTGAGGTAAGATTTTAGTATGCTTGCATTTATAACAAGAAGGGCTTGTCTCAGCAGACAAGTATTTCTTTCTTTTCTCTCTTAACAATTTCAATAGGAGGTACTTGTTTTGAATGTTTAAATAGTAGGTACCAAACATTTGTTAGAATGTCAAACTTTGGGTTTCATGAATTCATGTTAACATGTTCTTTTCAGGATCATTTTGTTCTCTCTGTTTCCTTTTTGGGACATTTCCATGCAATGTTAGAATAAGCTCTGGCAGGCCTAGAAAATAAGATCAATGACCATGGAAAAAATTTACATTCCCTATTTTATTTTGTTAAACATAACATCAGAAAAGAAAATTGAGTTTTCTGCTGCCATCCAATTATCTAGAAACTTATTTTCATCTGCCCCAAAATATAAATGCATGCATATTAATACCATTTAAAAATATTGATTTCAGATATTTTTCTTCTAGTAAGTCTTTGCAAAAGTATAGCTGGAGAAGGATATTGTATAAACCTAATGAGCCTTAATTATCATATGCTTTTTGTGTGTGTGGAACCAAAATCTCTTATATAAATTACAAAGCCTAAATATATTAACCATGGGTTATTTGATTCTGCTTTTCCCCCGTATTTTTTAGCCTAATGCCTAAGCATTGTCATACAATTTACAGTGGCTAATTTACATCTAACAGCTAATTATTTGTGAAAAAATATTGTAAGATAAGATTATGAAGATTTTTTTAGTCTTAAAGAATCAACCTTAAGCTTTTTCCTTATTTTCAATGACATCTTATATGTCTGATACTTTACATTCAGAACACTTACCCACTACTAATTCTGTTTGATCTTCAGAATATCATATAGCAAGTCAACACTGTGCTATCAGGTGTCTAGGTCTTTTTGAAACATGAGGGACCCATGTGTGTTTGCACTTGACTCATACTAACTGATTCCCAACACAGGGTTTCTACCTACAGAGTTCACTCAGATTTAGTGGAATTACAGATTTATAGTTTATGAATTTCAGAAATTTTGTGCCAATGTTATTTCTAACATTGTTTGCCCCATCTACATGTGTGTTCTATAGAAACTTTTATATGGTATGTATGTATAAACTATAACTAATTAGAAGAGAACCTAAACTCTGGTTGTTTATCACTACAGCATATGTTTAAATAAATTTATTTTTTCTTTGCTTCTTAGGTTTATACCAGATGATATTACTTTTGATGATGAGCCCAAGGACGTAGCCTCAGAAGTGGATTTAACAGCATATAAACCAAAATATTTTACATCTGCTGCAATGGGAACATCAACGGTATTTCTTAACTTTTAAAAATATATGGCTGGACTCTTGCTTTCAGGAAAGAACTTGTGTATTATTTACGTATAGCATCTTTAGAAATGGAAAGTATTCAAAATTTTAATGCACAAATACAAATAGAAGTGAGACATAAATGTATTTGCATTTTTATCTATCACATCTGTTTGAACCTGTTTTCAGATTTTTGTTATGCCTTTAAGCTTGAGTCAGTTACCTGCAAATGTTTTTTTTTCTCCTCTGTCTTTCCCATATATTCTTATTCAGTTAGATTCTTTAATAAGTAATATGTCAGTTATTAATATCCTAGGGAGTGGGGGAAGGAGGTAACAGATTACCTCAAATCATAATTAAAACCAGTGGAAATTTTAAATAGGAACACATTTTTTTCTGTAGATATGATCCAAAATTGTAAAAATTGAAGTAGAATAATTCAGGACTATTAGATGTCACATTATTGCTTAGTAATGAACAGCCAAAAGATTTCTGTTGAATTAATTTGTTACTTAGCTGCCTACCTTCTCTCTTCTCCTCCCCCCCACAAAAAAAACCTTCTGCCCACAGATAGACTCTGCAGGAACCACACAGGTTTCCCATTGCCTTTTCTATGCTCTTCTGAGGATAGGCTGGTGGTAGAGAGATCTACTGTATCTGTCACTTGCATGCTGTATTGGGCACTGTGTGGCCTTGATTAGTTACTGAGTATGGTAAAACCTCACCATTATGCAATAAGTGAAGTTTAAAAGATTCAATAACATAAAATACAGGGTCAGGTTATTTTCAAGCCTGAAAAATGACCAAGGCAAGTCTGTCCAGACAGCCATTCTGGAATTCTTAGGGTCTGGCCATACCATCCACATTTGTCCCAGTTCCAGCAGCAGTTTTATGGTTATCACTCAGGCAAATTATCAGAATAAGGATAATTCGTAATTAGAACTTGTAAGGTAGTGACAGCTGTCTTAAAGATCCCTTGGTTAATTGGTGCCCATTTTGTTGTCCTGATCTGAGGAGATTAGCCTGAGGGAAAAAAAAAACTAGGATAGGAGACCCACCCTGTGATGAAGCTAAAACTTCTGACAAGACCCTATCTGAGAATGGGGGCTGCATGGAGGGCAGGAGCCAAACCAGTCATGTTATAGATTAATTTCTGTATCATGGGGGTTTACTGTACTTCCAACCAGTAGATGCCTTTTTTATCAGTGGCTCTTAATCTTTTTTAAAAGGGAGCCTACTGAAATTTTGTTGAAAGCTTTATTAATAGATTTCGTGTAGTTTGCAGACCTCCTGAAGTACTTAGAACTCCAGGTGAAAAACATGTTTTTGTCAATTCGTAATGTTAACTTTTTCGCTAGTGCGTTTTCTTTTCCCTACAATTAATAGAAACACTGGTGAGTTTTTACTCCTAATATTAGAGTAGTTTGCATATAGCAGAGTTAGGAGGAAAAAGGTACAGGTTAATAGAAATGGTTCCTCTTTCATAAGTAAAATACTTTTTATTATGCATGTCATTTATTATTTGGTTTAGCTTACGTCTTTTTTAGCTTAGTGATAAATATTCTGTGAGTGAGAGTTACTGACACTTCCATTTTTATTTGTTTTATTGGTGAAAGGTGGAGATCACTTGGGATGAAACTGATCATGAAAGAATTACAACACTCAACAGGAAGTTTAAAAAGGAAGAGCTTTTGGACATGGATTTTCAAGCCTACTTAGCTTCCTCTAGTGAGGATGAAGAAGAGATAGAAGAGGAGCTACAGGGTACTTGTAATCTTTTGCTGTTTTATATTTGTAAGCATTTAGATGCCTAATCTAGACTTGTTAATGGAAATATGTCTTTGGCGGTAGCTTAAAAGGGAGTGCCAAGCTAATTCTTAAGCTGTCTGCAAAACATACTCCCATGTATAGTATTATATACACCTACAAACGGTATTTGAAATTTTTTATTTAGAGGTTTTTTTTTAGCCTAAATTTCTTTAACCACGAACATTTTGTTTAAAAACTGTTACCAGGGGCACCTGGGTGGCTCAGTCGTTAAGCGTCTGCCTTCGGCTCAGGTCATGATCCCAGGGTCCTGGGATCAAGCCCCACATCGGGCTCCCTGCTCAGCGGGAAGCCTGCTTCTCCCTCTTCCACTCCCCCTGCTTGTGTTCCCTCTCTCGCTGTGTCTCTCTCTAGCAAATAAATAAATAAAATCTTTAAAAATAAATAAATAAATAAATAAAAACAATTACCAAACAAAAAAGCCTGGCCTTTTAGATTTGTCCTGATTCATATAGTTTTGCAGTCTGTTAACAAACTAGTAAAAAGCTCTATTACCCCCCCTTTTTCTAAAAAAAACTAAGCTGCTTTTGGATTGACATTTTTTTTTAAAGATTTATTTATTTATTTAGATAGAGAGTGCAAGTGGGAGGGGCAGAGGGAGAGAGAGAGAGAATCCCAAGCAGACTCTGTGTGGAGCCCAATGTGGGGCTTCATCTCAGGATCCTAAGATCACAACCCTGAGAACATGACCTGAGCTGAAACCAAGAGCTGGATGCTTAACCAACTGTGCCACCCAGGGCTCCCCAATTGATTGAATATTTTTTATATCCATTTTCTCTTCAAATAGTTTAAAAAGTAGACTGTTTCTGTTCATTTAGTGATTATCCTAGAAATTATGACTTGCATTCTTAATTTACTAAGGTCTAATGGTAATATCTTTAACCTCCTAGAAAATACAGGGAATCTTAAAACACCTCTCATGCTATCCTGTGTATTGTAATTCTATTTTTTGTAAATCCTATGGGCTATTAATATTTAAACTGCTCTTATTTCCATTTAGCTACATTTTCTCCACTTTCTCTGCTCCTTATTCTTTCTTAAATCTCATACTTCTGTCTAGGATCATTTTCCTTCTACCTTATGTATATCCTTGATAAGTTCTGGTAGTATTTGTTGGTGTCAAACTCTCTTGAGTTTTAGTATAAAGATGTCCTTATTTTGTTGTGAAAGATACTTTCATGGCAAAAAAAAAAAAAAATTGTAGGTGGGAAGTCCTCTCCATCTCCACACTAATGATAATGTCCTACAGACTTGTAGTTTCATTGTTGTTTTTGAGAAATCAGTTGTCTTTTTTTCATTCTTTTGAAGATTGTCTAGATTTCTTTTTTCTTTGATTGCTTTTGAAGTTTTCTTGTCTTTTTTTTTGGTCTTTCTGCAGTTTTACTGTGAACAGATTTCTTCTTAGTTGTGTGCTTGGGGTTTGTTGGGTGTCTTGCATTTGTATCATGGTAGCTTTCATCAGTTTTGGAATTTTCTCAGCCATTATCTAAATCAGATATTTTTTCTAACCTGTCCTTCTGGTATTCCAATTAAGTATATATATTATTTCTTTCCACTATAACTTCCATCTTGCTACTCTCATATATTTCTTAATCTGTTGTCTCTCTCTGCTGTGTTCTGGATGTTTTCTTCTGACCTATCTTCCAGTTCACTAATTTGCTTTTCAGCAGTGTTGAATCTGTTGCTACACCTATCCATTGAGTTCCTAATTTTGGTTATTGTATTTTTCACTTCTAAAAGTCCTATTTGGCTATTTTTCAAATCAGCAATATCACTTTTTATAACTTTCTATTCATTGCAGCTATTTTTAATCTTTATCTCTATAAATGGTATAAGCATGTTTTTATAGTCTGTGTCTGATAATTTCAGTATTTTAAGTCTTCTTGGGTTCATTTTTGTTACTTTACAAGATATTTCTTCTTTATTTGTATACATGGTTAACTTTATGTGCTAATTTGATAGTTGAGATGAGTATCTAATCAGAGAACTTTCGTTTACTATGGTCATTCTAGGACTACATTACTCCAAGTTTTAAGGCTTCAGGTTCTTTGGACTTTGTGGGTGATGCAAGTCTTCATGAGGGCTGGTTTACTTCTGGTTGGCTTCTACCCTAATTGTATATGCTTCTGGGTCCCTGCTTAAAGTGGACATAGTAGTTGAAATCTCCTCTTCTCTGGTAACATTTGTCCTCTTGGCCCTGCCAGGCTGCCAAAACTAGTTTAGTTTCATAGCTGTGTTTCTTCTGTGGATCAGTAAATGTTCTCAGGGAAAAATAAATCTTGAATACAGGATCAACTGCCTGGTGCTCCCTTGATTTTGACTTGGTAATTTTTTACTAATTTGTCAGTTCTTTGAAGTTTTTTTTTTTTTTAAACCCATTGAAGATTTTAAAAATATTTCATTTAATTTTATATCCTTGGTGAAAAGTTTGGTTTGAAAAATCTAGCTTGCCATGAATGGAAACAGAAGTTTTCAAATTACCTATGTTTTATTTAAAAATTTGTTTTGATGATTGAAATGATCAATGGTGTATTTTCTAGCTGTATATGCTGTTTGCCTAAAATAACTCATTTTTTAAAAATAAAACCAAAAAAACATCTTTTTCCTCTCTGTGTAGTCTGGCTCTGTTTGGAAATGGTTGCTTGATTGTAATTTCTTATCAGTTTTTATTTGATGCTATCTTCCTGATATATTCACATCTTTATTTGCCTTATCTAATACAATTCCCAGTCACACAAAATTGTGTAAGAGGTTTAATGCTGACAACAAATACCATAAATGTTAAGCATAGGTATAAGTATTTTAAATTAGCAGTGGTGAATATTGTTTTATTTATAGCTTAATATTTTTCATAGCTGTCTTCTGGTTTTCCTTTTGCATGTGTGTTATTTTTATGACCTGAATGTCAAATTAAATAAAATTCTTCTTTAGTATTAACATAGGACCATTAATTCTTAACTTTCTTACGTCCTGTGATTGGCCTGTCATTGTTTCTTTAGACTACTGAAGACACTGCATCATTTTTCTGAGTTTTTCATAAAGTGCTACTCTTGAACTATGCTCTACACATGGAATGGAGAATCATGCTTAATCATTCTAGTTTCTTTGTTCAGACATCTCATATTAATAAAACCACATAATTTCTTAGGTATTTAATAGTCTTTGAAAAAGTATGATTTGCAAGGGTAGTTATATTGGGCACAAAAGCCTTCTCATTCTTTTAAGGTCTCAGTGGCTGTTGCTTGTTAACATTTTGGCTTTCCAAACAATTCAGTGACCATTTTATTTCTAGTGTGCCCAGAAGAGCTAAGCCCTTTTTCAAATAGCGTTTGAAATATATATACTGATTTATCTATATATTTTTTTATTCAGATGCCTATATGGTCATTTAGCACTTTCTGAAGATTCAGCATAGTTTTTCTTCATTAGCAGCTCTAGGTTAAAGGAAAGAAGAGAACATGTATACTTGTGAAGATTGGCCGTATGTTAACAGTTTTCTTTGATTGGTTTGGAAGAACTGACCTAGATTTTTAAAATGACATTATTGGCATTTGGGCAAAAATGTATTAATTTGTCAATATATTCTTAAGATCTGGGCCCTCTGGTTTCAAATCCTGAGTTTACCACATAGTAGAGTTATATAGGTTAGGTTTCCTAAGCCCTTGTGCTTTTCTTTCCATAGCTATGAAATGAGGATAATAATAGTACCTGGCTCATGGTTGGAAAGATTGAGTTAATGTTTATAAAGTGCTTAACATACTACACCATATCATATATTTTTATGTCTAAAACTTTAAGAATTAATGGCTTTTTGTTTGAAATATACTACTCATTAAGTTTTAAAAGCATGCATTTTTCTTCAGTATTTTAGTTGATTGCCAGCTTACTTTAATCTGTAATTTAGTGCCTGTGATAGATACATTAGTATATTTGAACGCCTTAAGAGTTACTAGAAGTTCCTGGTGTTTATAAAAGATCATTGCAGGGCTTCTTACTGTTGGATTATTTTTTTCATTCCTTATATAGTATTAAGGCTTTCACAAAGTATTGTCCTTGAATTGGAAAAAAACAGACATACATGAGTTATCCCACATTTTAGAGCTTCAGAAAGTAAAATTTTAGTACTGGAAAAAATCAATTTAAAGTAGGCCATCAGAGACTTACCACTAAAATTTCAACCTGGAAGGAGCTTGCTTCTAATTATGTTTTCAGAAGTAAGCTTTTAATAGAAAGAAATACATTGCCATTCTGTTAATGTGTTCCTGATGTTTTATCCATTGAATTATGGGATACATGACAGAATTCCATCCAACATTATTTTTGTGGCACAAAGCACAAACAGGAAAAAAATGAATTTCAGCTGTTTGAGTGAAAATATAAAAGTGTGATAGGATGGAAAGAATGTCCTGGACTATTTTTTTATTCATTTAGAGAAAAAAACTATGAAAACATTTATTTAACCAGTGCTTTTTCCATGTCACCTTTTTTAAGATGTGAGGACAATCTTAACATTAATGTTTGACAGCTAAATGCTTAATGATGTTAGACATTTTTAGTGACCAGTTAGCCATAACTTATAGAAGAGAGGGTCTTCATTATGCTGCTTCTAAATTTTCCTTTACCAGGGATGTTTAGTCAATTCAATAAGTCTGTATGTTTTGCATTAAAATCCAGGTTCTCAATTTATGTTTTTGACTTGGAAAATTACAGTGGAAGTACAGAGCAAACAAACTTTTCACATATTAGTTTTCTTTGGTGTTTGTTGCCCATGAATTTTATATTGTTCCTTTGTATTCTAATTATTTTTATAAAATTAGGAAATGGAAATGTGGGTATTTTTCCACACAGGGATATTAGTTGAATTAATTTCTAATTTACTAACTTTCATTCTCAGTGTACTAATGAGGTCCTGAGAGTAAGCATACTTTTATTCACCATCAAATGGAAAAGACTCATTATTATTTGTTTTGGATTTCGAGGAGCTTCCTTTATCTGTCTCTTCAGCATAAACAGTTAAATCCATGTACCAAACGCATCCCAACAATATTCAGCCTCCTTTTAGTGACCATAATATTTTAAAGCCAGTGTGCAGATGGCGGAAGACATAAAGAGGGATAAAATGCTGTCTCTCCTGTCTTGTTTATAGGGAAGAGAAAGTCCAAGGTGTTGCATGTCTATAAAATTATTTTGAAACATGAATTTTAATAAAAAGGGAGATTCCCAATATACTGCTTAAACAGTGCTAACTTATATTGCAAGTGATTTTTATTATGAACAAGACCAAATGCTTTCATCTAATTCATTTAATATTAAGAAGTTTGTCTGATTTTGATATTCTATTGTTGTATTTTATCTGACAACATCTTTTAGAAGGTGCTATAGTGACTGTGAGATTTAAATACTAGATTTAAAAGTCAGTTATTTTTGTGTATTAAATGAAATTGATTTTTTTAATTAGGTGATGATAAAGTCAGTGTGGAAGATGGGAAAACAAAGAAAAATCAGAAGGATGATGAAGAACAAATTGCTAAATACAGGCAGCTCTTGCAGGTTATTCAAGAAAAAGAAAAGAAAGGCAAAGAAAATGATATGGAAATGGAAATTAAGTGGGTTCCAGGTAAGAATTGGATACTCATTAAATGTTCACTTGTTTTTATTCATTTCAAGATGTTGAGTGCATTTTAGATACAAAGGAAAAGAACATTAACTCTTAGAAATGTAAGCCTAAAAACATCTTATTTACCAGGAATGTTTTGGTGAGGAAGTTAACATGGTATTTGCATACATCATTTAATTCACTTAAGGACTAGTGTTTTAGACTCTTGCCAGTTTATTCTTGATTGGTTTCTTTGATTTACTAACTACAAATTATTTCTGTCCGTTTATGAAGGTAGACCTTTCCTAGGTTTGATTCCAGTATTCTCAGGATATACAAACTTGAATCCAGGCACCATGCATTCTAAAGTCATTAAACTTCTTTTTAAAATGTGTAATTCGTAAGTGAACTTTTCTCCCATAACTCCTACTAGACCTTAATTACCAAGGTTTCACTAGCACAAAATATGTAATACATAGTTTTCCATCTCAGTTTTGCTGTGAAGTCAAAGAAATACAGTGTTGTAAGTGATTTTTATAACTGCCTTGAAGGGCTCCATGTATTTTTTTTAGAGTAGTACAATACTAATTAAAACCATGTCAAAGCTAAGCAAAGATAAAAGCTAGTATAAATGAGGATTGTTTTCTAGCACACCCATTTTTTCAGCAACCTAAGCAAAGCAGCTTGTACCCTTGGAACCAATATTGGTTTTGACCTCTGTTTACATACATGTATATCTTTTTTTTAAATTTCAGTATAGATAACATATGGTGTTATAGTCATTTCCAGTGTACAACATACATGTATATCTTTGAAAGCTAGGTAGAACTTTTGACCAGGATTCAGTTCTTTTGCCGTAATTCATCTCTAGATAAAAGAATACTGATAACTTGTAAGAATATCATTGCTTAAAAATTAAGTGTTTTATATTCAATTATATCTGTTTCCTACAACTAGTATGTTTTTTCACTGGGAATAAAATGTTTGCATAGATTTTTATTTGGGGGCATATTTTGATATTTGAGAGTTGATTGACTATTGTAATAAATTTCCTAGGGTGGACTCGTCCCCTGTAGGTACTATGTTGTAGCCCATTTGTTTTAAATGTTTGTCTTTGGCAGGAAGTGGTGGTAAGAAAAAATGAAATTTAGTAGTATTATCATCTGAACAATGGTTGGGAGAACTCAGTTTAGCCTGGAGAGAAAAAGATTAAAAAGTGACTTACTAGTTATTTTCAAGTATTTGCAGAATGAATATATTAATGAAGGCTTCATTACTCTTACTACATCAGAAGTCAGTATTTTTTTTTTTTAAAGATTTTATTTATTTATTTGACAGAGAGAGACACAGCGAGAGAGGGAACACAAGCAGGGGAAGTGGGAGAGGGAGAAGCAGGCTTCCCGCCAAGCAGGGAGCCCAATGCGGGGCTCGATCCCAGGACCCTGGGATCATGACCTGAGCCGAAGGCAGACGCTTAACGACTGAGCGACCCAGGTGCCCCCAGAAGTCAGTATTTTTGCCAGTAAATCAAAGTTGAAGGAAATTAGAGTTCAACATAATATAAAGAGGAATTCTCTTCATTATTAGAATTGTCCAGCAAAAAATCAAAGAGGCTGCCTTAAGGGGTTGGGTGCCCTTTTCAGTAAGTCTCACAATATGACATTATTGCCATATCACTCAGGGATGTTTGTGAAGCAATATTTTACTTGAGGTCCTTTACTTTATGATTCTAAGGAATGTTGAATGCTGTCTTTTAAGTCGTCAAGTATGTTGTAATTGAAGTTTAATCTTAGAATGAGCTCAATGAATGGTTTTTTTTTTTAAGATTTATTTATTTATTTTCGAGAGAGAAGGAGAGGGAATGCACGTGCGCGCTGGCGGGTGGAGAGGGAGAGGAAAAGGGAAAGCAAAAATCTCAAGCAGACTCCCCGCAGAGCACGAAGCCCTACCAGGGCTCAATCCCATGACTTACGACCTGAGCCAAAATCAAGAGTCGGACACTTAACTGACTCAGCCACCCAGGTGCCCCCAAATGAAGATATTTTAAGTGAACACTTAAAAAAAAAAAAGACTTTGGGGCACCTCAGTGGCTCAGTCGGTTAAGCAGCTGCCTTAGGCTCAGGTCATGATCCCAGGGTCCTGGGATCAAGCCCCACATCGGGCTCCTTGCTTCGAGGGGAGCCTGCCGCTCCCCTGCTTGTGCTCTCTCTCTCTCACTATCTCACTCTATGTGTCAAATAAATAAATAAATCTTAAAAAAAAAAGGTTTTATTTATTTGACAGAGAGCACAAGTCGGGGGAGCTGCAGGCAGAGGGAGAGGGAGAAGCAAGCTCCCCACTGAGCAGAGAGCCCAACATGGGGCTTGATCCCAGGACCCTGGGATCATGACATCAGCCGAAGGCAGACGCCCAACCAACTGAACCACCCAGGTGCCCCTTAAATAAACACTTTAAATTGAAGTATTCAATTGACTGAGAAGGCAGATTTATTATAAACTTGATTGAGAAGTTTTATAGCAAATACTTCAGCTTTGTCAAGTGGACCAGGTCAAACCTTTTTCTATATTAATACGGTTATATAGGGAAAATACAAACAAGTGATAGCTATACTTGTATTTATAACTGGAAGATGTAAGTAATACAGTTTTCCTGGGATAAACCTCACTTGGTTGTGGTATACTACCTTTTTTATATATTCCTAGATTCAGTTTAGTAATATTTTGTTAAAGATTTTTACACCTATGTTAGATGATGAGAATTTGTCTATAGTTTTTGCTTCTTGCATTGTCCTTGGTTTTTGGTGTCAGGGTAATGCTGACCTCATGAAATGAATTGTGTGAACTGTTCCCTTTTCTATTTAGCAGTACATTTTTATCTTGACTTTAATTTCCAGATATAATATTGTCACAGAAAATATTTTGAAAATGAAAAATTATCATCTGTAATTCTACTACCCTAATTTAGCCACTAAATGATTAGTTGGATTGATTTAATTTATCATTTCTTTGTTGTTGAATACTTAATCATATTTCCAATCTTTCATTGCCATAGACTTACGGCATTGGGAATAAATGTGACTGAAGGCCTTTAGCAATCTCATACCACAAATATCAGTATTTTCTTAGACTCTTCACATTCATCAATTACTTAGCAAGTCTAAGTAATTGACTTGCTATTTTAGGGCCTTTTACTTTTTTTTTTTTTTAAAGATTTTATTTATTTATTTGACAGAGAGAGAGATAGCGAGAGCAGGAACACAAGCAGGGGGAGTGGGAGAGGGAGAAGCAGGCTTCCCGCTGAGCAGGGAGCCCGACGTGGGACTCGATCCCAGGACCCTGGGATCATGACCTGAGCCGAAGGCAGACGCTTAACGACTGAGCCACCCAGGCGCCCCAGGGCCTTTTACTTTTAAACAATTTTTTTAAACAAAGACATCCATCTGCTCCCTTCTCCGTTTTAGAAATATCTATGTATGTAGAGAGCAGTCAGACCACAGGGAAAAGCTAATGCTGGCAGTCAGGCTCACTCTGTAGTTAGTCATGTGACTTCCTCATTCACATAGCAACTTGACATATGCTGTGGATCAACCTGTGGTTCTCTCACAAGCTGTTAAAACTACCAGTGTTAAAACCTCAAATGTTAAATCTCAGATGCCAAGCATCTAGGATGTTATAAATAATCTATAGCTTTTTCCATATTTTGAATTATTTTTATAGGATAACTTCCCAGAAATGGAATTACTAAGAAAAAGCACAAACACTTTTTGTGTCTTGCGATTCGTGCCAAATTGCTTTCCAAAAGGGTTGTACTAGCTTATAATGACTCCAACAAGGGGTAGAAGTGCCAGTTTCATGGACTTATAATCAACATTGTATATATTTTTTTTACTCCTAATTGAATGGAGGAAAATTGATATTCTGATATATAGTGTGTTTTGTAAGTCTTTAGCCATAGTATTTTTGATGGCCTCAGTTAGGGTATTGCTATTTGTGAATCTTTGCACAACTTTGTATGTGCATGTGTGTGCATAAATGTAAAGGGTCTTTTATATACTACACATGTTAAATGACATAAATGAGCTAATCTTTTAGGATCTCAGTTTGTTTGGAAAGTGGCACTGATAATATCTTTCTTGCTGAATCTGAGTTATTTATAAAGGTATCTAAATAAGCTAGAGTGTTATTCATGTCATATGTGTATTTTGGTGGATTTGTGTCTGACGAAATGTGTGTTCCCAGTAACAATTATCCTGAACCTCAAGACTTTTATGATGCTGTACTTCAGTAAACCACAAAGGGTCAGTATGAGATTATACTATATTGTTCATCGGTTTTTCTGTGGCTTGATTTCCAAAATATTAAGCTCTTCAGAAAAATAAATACCCTTAATCACTAACACTTGTTGGAATATGCTTCGGTTTGGTTTGGTTTTTAAAAGGAATTTTAGTTTAGACTATTTAAACTTCCTATCTTTTTACATTGGATTATATACTGTTGTAACATCAGGAGTTTAATTCCTTAAAGGTAGAGTATTAAAGGAGGCAGATAACAGGTACATAGGTGTAAAAACTAGAATAAACTAGTCTTTCTGTTGATATTCTAGTTCCTTATAGAAATGTGATCATATAATCACATTAGTTAGGATTATAAATAAGTAAAAATGTTAAATTATAAGATTTTTAAATAAAGTTCTAATTCAGTATTTTAATGTTTGTAGAATAATATTTTCCATCTCAGTGTGCTGCTGAAAAGGTATCCTGGCTGACTCACTTTGATAAATAGATAAGGTGATGCATGTTGGGCCTTCATCAGTGAATGTGCCCCATTAGGGAATTTGTAACATAAATACAAATAAAGAATATTCAGTTTTATCTCATATATTAAATAACTTCTCTTACATTAATAGTTCAAATTAACAGTTTTTGTTGTAGATAATACAAGATATATATAAATAATATCTTTGAAATTCCATCCAGAATATGAACAAATAATGAAATGTTTCTTCATTTATAATCTTAAAAG